ACAGCCCCCTACTCTGTCTCCTTTTCCTCCTCAGCACTCAGACTCTAACATCCAGGAGGGGCAAGGGGCTTTGCCATCCCATTCACTTGCCGTGTTCTCAGCACCTAGAACTGTGCCTGGCGCACAGTGGGCACTCTGTCAGCGTGCGCGCCTGTTAAATCATGCACAGGAAGTTGCTCTCCAAACCGTTAATCCCGGAGGGGGGGCGGGGTGCAACTGCTCTAATTACTTGGCTCCCACTTCCTCTGCTGAACAAGAGGTCTTGGGCTGAGAAGGGAGGGCTTTGGGGGACAGGTGTCAGGGGCTAGCTTCACACACACACACACACACACACACCAGGCCCACCCCTAGGGATCCCCACCTGGAGATGTCCCAAAGCTCCAGGGGATTGTGACCACTGGCAGGTGTGGGCTGCTGGGCCCAAGGCTGCCCCCTCCTCTTCAGTCCCTCCAGTTGCTGAGCTGCTCCCCGGTGGGGGGTGGGGGGTGTAAAGGAATCCCCTGAGCTCCACTCTCCTCCCAGAGCCCAGGGGTCCCTACCATCACTTCCCACGACCCCCACCCCAAAGCCAAGGCCACCTTCCTCAAACACGTATAAAAATATAGTATAATAAACCTGCACGTACCCACCCCTTAGCTTCAACACGTATCATGATTTCATTATTGTTTCATCTCTCTCCACCCCACCACCCTCCTTCTGCCACCTTTTTATTTTCCTGAAGTCTTTTATTTATTTATTTATTTATTAAAATTGGTGGGGGTTTTTTGTCTGTCTGTTTGTTTGTTTTTTGTGGTACGTGCCCCTTGCGGGAACCGCACCCAGGACTCTCTGGTCCGCAGGCTGACGCTCAACCGCTGAGCCAAACTGGCCAGGGCTCCTGAAGTCTTTTAAAACAAACCTAATTTTCATATTAATTCAATCCTAAATATGTTTCCATATGTTTCACTAAGGGCTTTAAAGACACAGTGGTACCACTATCACATCTATTAAAATTAGTAATAATTTTGCCCTGACAGGTTTGGCTCAGCGGTGAGCGTATCGGCCTGAGGACTGAAGGGTCATGATTTTGATTCCCAGTCAAAGGCATGTACGTGGGTTGCAAGTTCGATCCCCAGCCTCGGGGTGGTATGGGAGGCAACCAATCAATGTATCTCTCATATCGAAGTTTTTCTCTCTCTCCCTCCCTCCCTTCTACTCTATCTAAAACTCAATGAAGCACTGGCCGGTTTGGTCAGCGGTTAGAGCATCGGCCTGCGGTCGAGAGAGACCCGGGTTCGGTTCCCACTAAGGGCACGTACCTCGGTTGCAGTTTGTCCCCGGCCCTGGTTGGGTCATGCAGGAGGCGGCCACTTGATGTGTCCCTTTCATGTCGATGTTTCTCTCTCTCTCTCCCTCCCACTCTGTCCGAACAAAAAATGGAAAAATGTCCTCGGGTGAGGATTAAAAAAAATAATAATAGAAAAAAAATAAAACTCAATGGAAAAATATCCTCAGGTGAGGATTAACAATAACAACAACAAAAAAAAATTAGTAGTAATTTTTATATTACTTATACCCAGACTGTGTTCAATTTTCCACTATTATCTCACAAATACCTTTTCATATTTGTTTTGTCCAAATCAGGATCCATACAGGTTTCACACACAGCATTTCCTTGATTTGCCTCTTCAGTTTCTAGTCTTCCCAGTGGACTCTGACTAGCTTCAAGGGTCTCCATGGTGGACACTCATTAATGTTACCTTCCAGTTTTTTGTTTGTTTTTCCTGATGTTTGTTTTTTTAAAAAAATCCTTACCTGCCCTGGCCAGTATGGCTCAGTGGTAAGAGTGTTGTCTGTGGACCAAAGCGTCCCGGGTATGGTTCCTGCTAAAGGCACGTACCTCGGTTGTGTTTTATCCCCGGCCCCGGTTGGGGTTGTGTGGGTGGCAACCAATCGATGTTTCTCTCTGTCTCTCTTCCTCCCTCTCTCCCTCTAACTCTATCTGAAGATTAATGTAAAAATATCCTCGGGTGAGGATAAAAATTAAATTAAAAATAAAAATTCTCACCCGAGGATATTTTTCCATTTATCTTTGGATAGAGTGGGAAGGGGAGAGAGAGAGAGAGGATAAAAAAAACATCGACGTGAGAGATACACATAGATTGGTTTCTTCCCGCATAACCCCAACCAGGGCTGGGGATAGAACAGCAACCAAGGTACATGTCTATGACCAGAATTAAACTGAAGACTCTTTGGTCCTCAGGCCGACGTTCTAACTGCTGAATCAAACTGCCCAGGGCTCACCTGCGACTTTTTACAAAATGCTCTTGTCTGGGCCCTACCTGGGCCAATTAGGTCTGGATCCTTGGGTGAGCTGGGCCTGGGTGTTTGCTTATTCATTTTTATTTATTTATGTGTTTAGTTCCCAGTGACCCTGGCACGCTGCCAGGGCTGGGGACCACTGGAACACACTCCAGGATTATCAACTGGCATGACGGGTTGTGTCTCCCAGGGACAGGTGACAATGTCTGGAGATGGTTTGGGTTGTTACAACCTGTGAGGGGGTTGAGGCCAGGGATGCTGCTCAACATCCCACAGTGCCCAGGACAGCCCCCAGGACAGAAGGATCCATCCCCAAATGCCAAAGTGCAATTGAGAAATTCTGATACGGAAGCACAGACCCCACTGTTCTCAAGGTAGGAGGCCAGGGGCGGGTGGGGAGCAAATTAAACTGCTCTTTCCATTCCTCATCTCAAGCCCATGCTGTTGACAAAGGGAATCCCCCTGGGCCTACTCTCTTTAGTGCCCCATCCCCTCCCTCAGCAGCCTGTGTCCTCTGCCAGATTAGGGTTGGGCCAAACTCCCCTGAGACAGGTGGCTCCTCTTTTGGCATGGGGCAGGAGCACCCAGGAGTGGAGAGAACCACACAGCTCAAATTCACCACTAGCCTGGCTGGTGTAGCTCAGTGGATTGACCGTCCTCCCATGCACCAAGAAGTCCCTGGTTTGATTCCCAGTCAGGGCACATACCCCGGTTGCGGGGCTCAATCCTCGGTAGGGGGTGTGCAGGAAGCAGCCAATCGATGTTTCTCTCTCACATCCATGTTTCTATCTCTCTCCAAAAAAATCAATAAAAAACATTTTTTAAAAAATGCACGAGCTGCCCTGGCTGGTTTTGCTCAATGGTTAGAGCGTCGGCCCACGGATCAAAGAGTCTCGGGTTTGATTCCAGCCAAGGGCACGTACCTCGGTTGCAGTTCGTCCCTGGACCCAGTTGGGGTCATGTGGGTAGCAACCAATCTCTCACATCGATGTTTCTCTCTCTCTCTCCCTCCCAGTCTGACTGAAGATAAATATAAAAATATTCTCGGGTGAGGATTTAAAAAAAAAAAAAGCACAGGCTGCGTGACCTGTGAGGTCCCCATGCTGCAAGTCCCACACCTGGTATCCTGTTCACTGTGGTACCCTGGTTGCCGGGGCAGAGTAGATACTCAAAAGTGTTTGTAGAATTGAATGAATCACCTGGAAATCAGGGCCTGGAGACAGGCTGATCTTACAGCCAACACTCAGCCTACTCAGGGCTTCTCAGAAAAGGTCCTTCTCTGCCCTTGTGGAGCAAGAATGGAAGTCCTTGTGCCCACCACCCCAGCCCAGGGCTTCCCTACACCTCTGTTGCCACCACTAGAGACAAAGGACACAGGGCCCTTGGCAGCCGGCAACCCACCTTCCCTCCAAGGGTGGGGAGTGGGGACAGGTGGAAAGGACATCCTGCCCCCCCAACCCTGCCCCTTCTGTCCTGTTTGGGGAGGACATAATACATTTTTGTCTGTCACTCTGGACTTGATACGGTCAGGGGAACCAAGAGATTACAACATCTTTAGGAATGACTCAAGGGGAGAACACAGCTCGGATGCTGACTCTACTTCCTGCAACTCAGCTCTTTCCTGCATTCACCAAAGGAGTGTCCTTGTCCTGCTCTGTGACTCAGTTTTCCCTTCTAACCCTCCAGAAGGACTCAGAACACGGGGTGTGAAAACCTGGGGCTTGTAAGATGGCACTGGCACGACAGGATTGTGACAATGACAGGACGAACACATGGCAGGGGATCGCTCTTTTCCTCCTGGCAAGCTGGGTATGTGCCTGCAGAGGCTGCCTGGTGGTAGGTAGGAGCCTCCTAAGAAACCCATGTGGATAAAAGGCCCTGCACCCACCCCAAGGGGACTGGGGAATTACTCCCAGCTGGGAGTCATCAAAATCCTGAAGCCGGCTGGCTTCGTAACCAAGAGGCAACCCCCTCTTGGGCACACCCCCTGAAGTGGGGTGCGAAAGTACGTGCGGAGAGCCTAAGGGCCAGACCCTAAGGCGGGGAAGCCTCCCTTTAATCACGAGGGTCACCTGAAGCCCCACAGCTCCAACGACAAGATAGAAGGGGAGAGGGGGGCGCACTGCGTATGTGACCCCAGAGCCCAGCGCACGGGTGTGGGGATGTGGATGGCGAGATGGGGAGCCTCCCACTTCTCTCCTTTCCTCTCCGCAGCCAGGCGGTAGGGCCCACTCAAGCATGGCCACCCGGCATGGGGGAATGTGGCGGGCAGCTTGGCACCCCGAGCCGGGGAGGGGCGCACAGTGGAGAGCCCCCACTGGACTGCGGCCCAAACTTTCCACGGGTTCCCTCCTGGTCGGGCGGGAGGAAACAGGCTGGCAAGGAGGGTCCCGGACGCCGGAGGCACCGGCGGGCGCGCCCAGGCACTCTCCCCAGGGAGGCGGCAGGCGGGCCCCGCTCCGCCCCCGCGCCGCCCCCGCGCCGCCCCCGCTTCTGGCCGGTGCGATCCGGCGCCCGCGGGCAGGGCGGGGCTGCAGTCGGCACCGCCCCCAGGGGCCGGGAAGGGGCTGTGGGAGGCGGACGCGCGCGGCGGCGGCCCGGAGCGCCGTTCTGGGCGGAACGGCCCCCAGCGCACTCCCCGGCCCGGGCCATGACCTCCGCTGCTCTCTCTTGCAGGCTCGCTGCCGCGACCACCCGAGTCCGGCCGCCACCAGCGCCCGGGCGAGCCCCGCGCGCCCCGGGTGCGGCTCCGCAGTGAGCCCACCAAACAGCGGTGAGTGCCCCGCGCCTTGCCTGCCCCGGTGCCCGGCCGCGCCGCCCACCCCACCCCTTCCAGAGGACGCCGCTCTTCCAGGTGCCGCAACCCCGCTGAGCGGCGTCCACGCCCCGAAAGCTTCGGCGGCTGGAGGGGCGCGCCCCGGGGAAGGGTAGGGGGCCCTCGCGGGCCCGGGAGTCCCCCCAACTTCTCGCAGACTTTTCTGCAGAGACGCGGTTTCGGGGAAAGTTGGGGCCCCTCTGGCCGTGTTGCAACTTACATCGGGCGGGTGGGGGTGTGTCCCTGCGCGTGGAACCTCTGGCCCCCACTCTTCACCTGACACCCTGCGCTGTCACGAGTTCCTTGGGAAGGGACCAGACCGTCGTCATTCCTCAAAGCTGGAAAGGAGCCCGGCCGGGGTGGGGGCAGGAGGCCTCGAGAGGAACCATTTCCCCTCTATTGAGTATTTCAAAATATATTATTTATGAACCGCCTCACTTAGGGGCCCCCTTCGCTTCCAGGGCATCAAAGCACGTTTGCAACCGCAAAGGGCGACCAGTATGAACGCACAAACGACTTCTAGCTCACTCTGCTCAGTTGTACTGGGGGGAGGCAGTCTTTATAAAGGAGGGCCCACAGCCCTTCCGGGCTGGGTCTGGGGTGGGGGGGACTTCTCTCAGACTGCTCCTGGCTGGCTGTTAGGCCTGATAGAATGGAGAGAAAAGTCTGAGCAGCCCTGAATCATTGAGGAAGAGGAGTTGAAAGGCAGCCCTGGGAAGGGGGGAAGGGCAGGGAGGGTGGTTTTTCACTTAAAAGGGGGTTACACCTATGGCAGCCTTGATGGTGGAATTGTTCACTATATCCTGGATGTAACCTCGGGAAGACACTTAGGAGATACCAGCCTTTGTAGAGCAATCACCCCATCTTACAGATGAGGAGACTGAGGCCTGGAGAGGCACACCTGACTTGTCAAGCTCTGGCATTTTCTGCCCAGCTCCCAGGAATGCTTGGGAGCCCCTGTTTGGGGCTGGATTAACTCTAGGGAGCACCCCTACCTGTCCAGGCCACACCCACCTTGGGTTCTGTGTCCCCACCCCTGGGTACTCCTTTCTCTGGTTGGGAGGGAGGCAATGTATTTATGGAAAGACTTAATCCCTCTGCCAGCTCCAAGGAGGCGGAAAGCTCTGATGCCTAATCTCTGCTCCCTGGAATCCCTTCTCTTGTTTGTGGGGTCCCTGAGCCCCAGGTTTAGATCACCTCTGGAGACTTCAAATCGGAACTCCCCTAAGTGTACAGGGGAGCCCTGGTATTGAATGTTTACTGAGCACTTGTGTGCCAGACCCTGGCCCTAAGTGCTGGTGCCCGTCGCCTGCATCTTCTCTTTTCATCCTCTGACTAAATACTATTATATCCCCATTTTACAGATGAGGACACAGAGGCTTGTAAGGGTAGAATGACCTAAGGTCACACGGGTGGGTAAGTGGCAAGGCCAGGCCTTGAATCCCTAGCCTCCTCATTGAGTTCCTCTTGACTATAGCAGAGGCTGGGCCAGGCCTCTGAGACCACCACGCGTGACTCCCCACCCCCAATGAAAAGGTTGAGATATCATATCCAGCCCTGGCCGGTTTGGCTCAGCGGTTAGTGTGTCGGCCTGCGGTCCAGAGGGACCCGGGTTTGGTTCCCACTAGGCGACCACTCGATGTGTCCCTTTCACGTCGATGTTTCTCTGTCTCTCTCTCCCTCCCACTCTATCTGAACAAAATATCGAAAAATGTCCTCGGGTGAGGATAAAAAAAAAAAAAAAGATATCATATCCATACAGTAATATGTGCTGTATGTGTACACCCAGATCAAGAAACAGAATTTCCCCAGAAACCCCATCTTGCCCCTCCCCACCCCATCTCCCCTTGGAGCCAGTGGGTGGTTCTCTGTTTCCCACAGGCAGTACCACATTGTAGTTATTTTTTATTTGGTGCAAAGAACGCATTCGTTTACTTTAATCTTTGCACTGAAAAGCCATAGAGGGTGAGCTGGCAAGCACTCGCTGCTATGGGCTGTAGTGTGTAACTTCTATCTTCAAGGCTGCTGTAAAAACAATTACATGCTTTTAAATTAACGCCATGGTTAATTAATCATTAACCTGACTTCTAATAGCATACCCCTGATTATTAAATGAACATTTCTATTGACATAACATGGAAAGGTGCACAAATCATAAGCACTGAGCTTGACCACACAGCAGCCCAGAGGAGCAGTAGGCAAGTATTTTGCTCAAAGCTACTTGGTCAATCATTGGGAGGCCAAGGCTGGACCCCAGGTGGCCCAAGACCCTGCCTGGTGACAGAGAAGCAGCTGGGCATTTCGGTGGGCACCCTGCCCCTTCCCCCACTCCCATCCTTTTTCAGTTCCTATTGGTGAGTCCCTGGGGGCCCGACAGCTGCCCTGCCTCCCCAAAACGAGCTCACAGCCTCCTGCAGGTCTGTGGGCTGAAGCCAGGAAGATGCTCATGTTTGCACTCTGTGTACCAGGATAGAAGGCATGTTAACGCTTATAGCATCTGTTCCCAACACAGTCCCTTTGGCTGGAATTGCAGGAATTCCGATCCTGTGGCAAAAAGAAAATGCCTTTACTGAAGAAGGAACACCAAGATTTGCCATGTGCCTACATGGGAGCCCGGCATGGCCCCGTTAGTACTTTCTTCCCTGTGTTTGCCTAAGAGCTTGTCCAGATTCTCCCAGCAGGGAGTGGAGTCTGGTTCCATCTTGTCTGGTGGGTCCACCCACCTAGGCAAACAGTCACATTCCTCAGCTGTGATTCTTCACCCTGCGCTTGGTCCTCAGTGAGGTCTTTGTTAAGGAGGTAAGATGAGGCACCACGGTGAGTCAGGACCTCCAAAAGGTTATTCTGATTTCATCGGGGAGGTGGCTGTGCAGAGGCCAAAGTCGGCCTTCTAGCCTGACCCTGCCTTTCACTCACTTTTTCTCTCTGGGCCTCCGCAGCCTCCTCTGAGAAACCCAGGTATTGGAAATAAGACAGCCTCTGTGTAGGGTTGCCAGATTTAGCAAATAAAAATACAAGACGTGCCCTGGCTGGGTGGCTCAGTGGGCTGGTGCGTCGTTCTGTGCATTGGAAGGTTACTGGTTTGATTCCTGGTTAGGACCCATACCCAGGTTTCGGGTTTGATCCCTGGTCACAGGGAAGAAAGTACTAATGGGGTATGTACAGAGGCAACCGATTGATGTAGCTCTCTCAAATAGATGTTTCTCTCTCTCGCTCTCTCCCTCCCTCTCTCTCTAAAGTCAATTAAAAAGCAAAACAAGCCCAGCTGGTGTGGCTCAGTGGTTGGGCATTGACCCATGCACCAAGAGGTCGCCGGTTCGATTCGCAGTCAGGGCACATGCCCAGGTTGTGGGGCATGCAGGAGGTGGCCAATCAATGTTCTCTCTCCTTTTCCCTTCCTCTCTCTCTCAAAATCAATAAAGAAAAAAAAAAATGGAAAGAAGACGTGCCCTGGCCAGGTGGAGCATCGTCCTGGACACGAGGCTTTGATTCCTGGTCAGGGCACAGAACCAGGTTGCAGGTTCAGTCTCTGATTGGGAAACATACCTAGGTTACAAGTTGGATCCCCAGTCGGGGTGCATACAGGAGGCAACTGATCAATGTTTCTCTTGCATCAGTTTCTCTCTCTTCCTTCCTCTCTCTCCAAAATCAACACAAAAGAAACATCCTCAGATGAGGATTTAAAGAAGAAAAAAATACAAGACTGCTCAGTTAAATTTGAATTGCAGATACATGAATACTGATTTCCAGTATGCGTATGTCCCATGAAGTAATTGGGCATCCTATCTTATCTGACAACCTTCTGTCCACAGCCACTTCCAAGACTAGGTTTGTGATTCACTCCAGGAAGGTTTATCTCACATTCTAGAGACAAACATTCATGACCCAGGAGTAACTGAAGGGAACCAGCAGACCTTGGTGCCAGAAATATAAAAGCAGGGTCCCTCCAGCCAGTGAGTGGTTCTTGAGTCTCCCACAGGCTTTACTACATCTTAATTATTTTCTACCCTGTGCAAAGTACACCTTAGTTGACTTTTCTCTTTGCATCGCAGACCTGCAGGCGGTGAGCTGGCAAGCACTCGCTGCTGTGGGCTGGTAGTTTATGGTTTCTATCTTCAAGGCTGCTGTAAAAACAATAACAGACAGCTTGGCCAAGTGTCTCCTCTCCCCTGGAGATGTTCATGGTTTTCGAGAGGGCTGTGTGGTGTGCAAAGCAGCAGATATCCATCTATCTCACCACCGCTCGGAGGAGGGGCGGGCCCCTGCAGGAGGAAGTGAGTTTTTATCATTGTCCCTCTCTGTCACCAGAGAGGATCCTGCCATGGCTGTTTGCCGGGGTGCAAGAAAGAACCTGTTCTGCTTCAGGCTGTTGTGCAAATAATTAACATTCTGATGTTTTGAAGGGAACATAAACAGAGCCCAATTCAATATGAAAGGGAGGTTTTTCACACCCTTGCCAATGTGTGAAAGAGAGAACGTTTATACCTGAAGTAGCATGGACCTAAGTGAGTGCTCATATCATCTTGACAAACTAAGAGGCCCCTCCCACGACATCTTTATTTTCTAATTCTGAAACTGTATCTTTGTAACAAATTCAAATGATGAAGGGTGGCATGTAGAAGGATACGGCTCTGAAGCGTGGGGCCAGATGGACCTGGGCTTTGGCGTTCGGCGGCCCAGAGCTGTGGCTTATTAGCACTGGACCCCCCAGAGCCCCATTCCCTCAGCTGTATAATGGGGACCGCAGTGATGTTTCTCTCTAAGGGTATTATTAGGGTTCAGTGGCATCAGTTCTCTGGCCTCTTGAACGCATTAGCTTGGTGTCTGTCAGCTCCTACTGTCGTGATGACGATGAAGTTGAAGGTAAGAGTAGCCCCGCTCCCACAGTTAGGCGTCTGCCTGGCTTCCATTCAGACGAGCTTTAACCCCTTTGCAAACATCGTAGCCCATCTACTGGG